TTAGACATTGGACCTAGTTTGATCACCGTTGTTTTGACCATAATTTTAAAATTTCGGAAATATGGAATTGCTTTCAGCGGAGATTTAGCTAAGGCCTTTTTAATGATAGGAATCTTAGAAAAGGATAGGGAATATTTAAAATTTCTTTCTTTGGTTCGGGAATAGTGAGGAAAAATATAAAGTTTTAAGGTTTAAAAGTCTTCCATTCGGACTTTGCTGTACTCCAGCAATTTTAGCGCGATGACGATAAAATTCCACATTAAAAAATATAAAAGCACAAATCCAGAAAGTTATGATATGTTAGATTCCTCGTTATATGTAGACGATTTATACTACGGTGCAGACACTATTGAAGATGCATGTCGATTATCCTCAGCCGCGGTTAAGATTTTCAAAGACGCTGAGATGAATTTGAGAAAACTAAGGTCAAATTCCGAGGAACTTAATTCCTGGTGGATTGGAAAAGGTTATAACATAGAACCAGCTAAAGAGTCAAAATTTTTGGGCATGATCTGGAACTCTGAAGCAGATAAGATCAAGTTGAATTGCGAATTTTTAGGAAATTTATCCCATGACAGTGCTGAGGTCACAAAAAACAAAAAGGACTATTCTCCAAAGGGTGGCCAAAGTTTACGATCCAATTGGTGTGTTTCAACCCTTTGTGATGAAAATGAAAATTCTGTTACAAAAAATTTGGACATTAGGTGTGGACTGGGATGATACCCTTCCATTAGAAATAGTTAAGGACTGGAGTCGCTGGCAAGCTGAATTACAGGTGTTGGAGGATTTTTCTCTTCCGAGAAAATATTTTGGTAGTAGTGAAAAATCTAATGTTAGTCTTCATGTATTTGCTGACGCTAGCCCTAAAGCGTACGGCGCAGTAGCATACTTTAGATACCTTGATTCAGAAAACATTATTTGCACCAGTTTCATTACCGCAAAGGGTCGCGTAGCTCCACTCAAGACTATGACTTTACCTCGTTTGGAGTTGATGGCTGCTTTAGTAGCCGCCAAATTGTCTATGTATTTGACAAAGCTGTTTCCTGAACTGTGTCATCAAAAGTTTCTTTGGAGTGATAGACCAAATAACTATCTACTGGATAAAGGGATGTGCAAGAAATTGGAAACCCTTTGTATCAAACCGAGTTTCTGATATTCAGTCACTCACGGATCCTGATGCTGGTTTCACTGCAGTGGGAGTGAAAACCCTGCTGACCTTTTATCTCGAGGAGAAAATGCCTTTAATCCTTGTGAGAAGTTCCCTTTGGTTACAGGGACCTAGCTGGCTGTCTCAACCTGAAAGTGTTTGGCCAGTAAATCAACAGACCAACATCGACAGAGGAGAGCGTTCAGAACGAAGCAAGGGTGCAAACATCTCTTCATGTTTCTGTTCAAGACGTAGAATCTTCGGCATTACTACAGTTAACAACGCGATTCAGCAGGCTGCTGAAGGTGTATCGAATTACGGCTTATGTTATGCGGTTTACCAACAATATAAAACGAAATTCAGTGAAAGTCAAAGGTCCATTAAGCTCTGTTGAGATTTCGCGAGCTGAGTTCTATTGGGTAAAAGTTACACAGCGAAAATACTTTGCGAAAGAGATTCTAGATCTATCAAGTGGAAAATGCTTAGAAAAGACATCGTCGATTTATTCACTTAACCCAGAATTGGATACCCATGGTCTTCTGCGTTTAAAGGGCAGAAGGGCAGACTTCAATTCTCAGACTTTTCTTTCGAAGAAAAACACCCATGGCTGTTACCTTATAAAGATAGATACAGTGAACTAGTAATTTTTGAGTCTCATAACAAATTGTTTCATGCTGGAGTCGAAGCTACCTTAGCCGATATTAGAGAAAAAGTTTTGGATCATAAAAGGACGCCAATTCGTTTGGATTATAAAAGGAATTCAAGTCCACGTTAAGTAAGTGCTTTTTGTGTAAACGATACAAGGTGCGTGCCGGTACACAGGAAACCGCTCCTTTACCACCTGATCGTGTTCTTCAATCATCTCCATTTTCTGTAAACAGGGCTGGATTATGCTGGTCCCTTTTTTTACAAAGGACAGCAAGAATAAACATTATCTGCTTTTGTTTACATGTGCTACAACTCGAGCTTTACATCTAGAACTTGTCCCTTCTATGAGCGTGGAGAATTTCATGCTTGCGTTTCGCAGGTTTATTTCTCGTCGTGGATTGTGCTCAACGATATATTCTGACAATGCCAAGACATTCAAATGTGCTGATCTCGAGTTGCGAAAAATTTGGAAGTGTATTCAACATCCATCTGTACAAAATTTGTTTTCTTCCCACGGTATAACATGGAAGTTTATTGTGGAAAAAAGGAGCATGGTGGGGAGGGTTCTGGGAAAGGCATTTTAGAACGATCAAAACTTGTTTAAGGAAAATAGTTGGACGTTCTAGTCTCTGTTTGAATGAGCTAGAAACAGTCTTCGTAGAAATCGAAGCCATAATTAATTCAAGACCCATAACGTATGTCTACAATGACCCTTCAGAACCCTCACCGCTAACTCCTGCTCATTTCTTAATTGGTAAACGTTTTACTTTCTCTTCCAGTTACAAGAGTGTGCAGAGAAGACTTGATTGGGTCTAGACATTCCTTGATCAAAAGGTATAAACATCAACAAACCTTGTTAAACCACTTTTGGAATAGGTGGAGGAAGGATTACTTGCTTTCTTTAAGATCTGTGAATTTATGTCCACCTACTAAAGTGTCTGGTCACTTTAATGTTAATGATGTAGTCCTTGTACATGACGACCGTTTACCTAGGAATTTGTGGACACTAGGTAAGATAATAGAAACTTATCCTGGCAGAGATGGTCAGGTTCGCTCTTGTCTGATAAAAACTCAAACAGGTAATCTAAAGAGACCAGTACAATTGCTGTACAACCTTGAAGTGCATAATTAGTAGTAAAGAGTTACAATGTAATAATCTAATTTGTTGTTTGCACATATATCATCTTCTGAATATCTTTATTGATTTTTGCTAAATGTAGTTTAGTTTATATAATTATTGCGAATTTTGATTTAGTATAATGTTTTTTATTTAGTAATTAGTTTATAAGTTGATTTAACGTGTTTAAACATTACTTAATTGTTATTTGTAATTTGATGTAGTTTATATAGTATTCAAATGTTGTGTTTGATTTAGAAATACTGGTTTATTTTGTATTCGGTTTGTGTGAACTTAAAGAGTTCACAGGTGGGGAGTGTTGTAAAGAAAGAAGTAGAGGGCGCTGCTTGGCAGTAGCGCAACGCATGTAAGTAGAAACGAAATGTCGTTTGATTAGGCAACATGGTTTCTGTGAAGGTAGTCCACCTAACAATAGGACAGTTGTAAATATGTAAATATAACGAATAATAAGTAGCATTAGAAAACTGAACCACCGGATGTTTTGTGATTGCTCTACGGGCCGCCATGGATAAATGCAGGTTCGTCACACTCGGTATTGTTCCCGATGTGACACAGTTCCTATGATGGCTCACTATATTGGGTACTCTTAATAGAGGTAAAACATGCTAAACCTATCTGCATATGAAGAAGGAAATCTTCAAGAAAAACTTTTAAAAGAATTTGGCGCATGTTTAAGCTGTGTATGAAGAAACCACAAGCAGTTTTATGTAGCCGCCCGTTCAAACCATCGGGAGTAAATTCAGAGACGCTATAGTAGCTTAATTCATTAGAAACTGTTTTCTTGTCTGATGTATTGCTAATAAATGTTTAAGAATTCTTTTATGGAAGAAATGCATAGCATTATTAAGATCATAAAAAGCAAAATAACAAAAACCTAGAAACTTAGCTTTAATAAAATATGGTAATTTCTCTTTCATAATTCTTAAATTTATGGTGCATCAAAAGAAATTTGCCATGAGCTTAAGATCTTTTTATTTAGTCTCACAAGAAATTATTTTTTCCATGCATATCTATACCAGACATAACTTCTGTTAAATTTCTTTATCCAGTTTATGCTTTAACACAGAAAAACAATTGAGTAAATTTTGTATCCGATGATTCATCCATTTATTTCTATTTACTAATGAATTATTTACGAGATCCAAAGACCAAAAACATAATTATTAATTATAATTAGCTATTATTTAACCAGTATTCAAAGAATAAGAAGCATCCTGAAATGTAAAGAACTCTGAAATCAAGGCCAGAAATGAAAAAATACATCACATGAAATTTTCCAGTTATTAAACAATGGAACTAAATATTTGGATTTCGCTATGGTAGTGCCAATGCAGTGAACCTTATATGATAAGTAAAGCTAATTCTAAGTTACAACGAAGATAGATTTCAGAAACAAGTGAGTAGAATAAAAAGAAATTAGACCAAAGAATTCGCGTTTGATGTTAAAAACTGTAAATAACATCAAGAACTATAAAACAGCGTTATATCTGCGAAACAGATATAATTAGCATTTTAAATTAGTATAATGTACCTCCGTATTGTTGTTGTAAATGTGATGCAATCTAAAAAATAATCAATTCTGTCAAAGATAAGGTAAAGAACAAAAAATTTCGTTTAAAATAATTTTAAACTTAATTCCTTTAATAAACGATTAAAAATGGATAAAAAGTTTTATTCAAAATAATATAATCTTATCTTCAGATTTCTCAAATGAATAAAAAGCGTGCCTCAAATACATCACTTTTAGAAATGAACAAATGAAAGTATTTACAAAATGACAAATTTCTATGAAAGACACATTAATCATATCGCATAAAAATTGTTTTGCATTAAGCCAAATAATTTAATTTTCTTCCATTATCTGCACCAATTCCAAATAATAAAGCATTATGTATAAATGAGCTTTTATGTACTATAAATAGGTAGGCATTAAAAGATACCACCAATAGGGTGTGGTCGAACAATGGAAATATTTTTACCTGCAAATTACAAAAGTTTGTTTTCAAGTTATGTAGTTTAAACAATGAAAATAAATATAACGGATAGAGATGAAATGAATTCGCTTACTTAGTAATAATTCTTCAGATTATCCGATTATTCAGGCTTAAACATGAAACAATAGTGCAAGCGAAGAACGCATCATCACCAAGATATTAAAAAAAGATGTCACCGTTAGAGTTTCTGCGCAACTTCATCCGCAGGTATACTTTGGCCTCGGTTTGTGTAACTACCTTTCCACCTATGCGATGAAAATATCTTATCTCAGAAATTTTAGTATACTTTTCTCTTGTATTTTCAGCTTCTTTTATCTTAAGAATGATTATCTCTACTTGGCGACTCAGTGATATCATGTGACATTCTTCAAGCGTCAAGTACATTGCACTAGAACACAGTAAAAAGCTATGATAATTCAAACTGTAAAGCAGTTTTGTCAAAGAAGCGAAATCATCTGAAGGAAGTTGGGTTTTTGTTACGTTACTATTAGCTACTGGACCTCACTTTTCTCAGAAGGCGATTAAGAAATTACTGTGGTTATAAAAAAGAAGCTCTTTAAGAAAATACATTAATCAGTGGATAGCAAATATTCACAACTATTCAGGGATTAAAATGTTATCTACAGAATACATAACAATTACAAAAGTCTTTCCTTTAATGAAAAGATTTCGTTTAGTTACACAACTAAGAAGAAACAATTTTAATAAAATTTATAAAAAAAATATAAACTGGAGAATATACTACTAATAAGATTTGGATTTTTTTTTTTTTTTTTGTGTGTGTGTGTGTGTGTGTGTGTGTGAATTTATTGTTAAAGGTTTCTTTACTTTCATTCATTCATATACGATAGTTTCCTTCCTGAAGCTCTTGCATATCGTACATGTATAATTTACATAAAATCTTCAGATGTTGCTTTGCATATGAGGGTCATTTCCTAAATATTGGGTCATATAAAAAGGTCTCCGCCCTTTTTTGGTGCATCTTTGAACAAAAATGTTCTTTATTGAAAATCAGTTTTAATCAAGTACATATTGACTATTATTATCTATGACCATTTGCCATTTTCCGGATAGCATCATAATTTCATCGGTGTAGAACTTCTGTGGTTTTATTGTCGAAAAACTTGGGCGAGTGATTTTCAGAGGCTCTTCGGTCGGAGAATTATTTACCATCAAGAGAGTTTTGCAGAGACCGAAGAAAATGGTAGTCAGATGGTGCAAAATTCCGGCTATATGGTGGATACATCAAAATTTCCCAACCAAGTTCCGTCAATTTGTTCTAAGTCATCAAAGATGTGTGTGGTCGCGCATTGTCATGATGGAACACAACTCCTTTTCTTTTGTCCAATTCTGGTCGCTTTTTCTGTATTGCTTCGTTCAAACGGTCGAGGTGTACACAGTACAGGGCCAAATTGATGGTTTCGCCAGGTTGCACTAGATTGCAATCTATGTGGCACCCAAACATTGAAATTCTTTTTTGTAACCTGCTTTTCTCAAATGATTCCAAACTGTCATGTTGTTGATGTTTAGTGCCTCTGGTATTTCCTGACAGCTTACGTGCCGATCTTACTCCACTAGTTGCAAAATTTCATCGACTTTTTCAGTGACTGGACGACCAGAGCGAGGTGCATCTTTGATATCGAAATTTCCGGAACGGAATCGAGCAAACCACTTCTGGGTCCTTCGTTCACTCACAACATTCTCACCATACACTTCACAAAATTTTCGGCATGTTTTTGAAGCTTTTTTACCTTTTTTATAGTAAAAAAGCACCACATAACGTATTTCTTCAGATATTTCACTCATTTTCGAATCAATATAACTTTTTACACAAGCAGCGAATTAGAAAATTATTTTCACAGACAATGGAAGATGAATGTCATCTTTTAAGCACATGTTCTTTTGAGACAATCGGGTGAGTGTTGCCAGATATATAGGCATCAACACCATCTAGTGGAAAAAAAAAAAAAAAACACGAGTCTTTTTATATGACCCAATATTTCACGTTTCTAGACGTTAGAAATGCATGACATTTGCAAAGAGCCTTTCAACCTGCATGTTGTACTATCATGCATTTTAGGATTTATTTCCCAAGGTGAGTGTATTATCAATATCACAGTATTCATTCATCGGTCGGTAGGGAGAACAAAGCATTAAATTTCTTTACTGATATGGCATAGTGGTATTAAAAAAATTTGCTATTATTACTTAGCAATGAACAATAAAATGTGAGATATGGAATACCTGTAACGGACACTTTTCTAGGGACTTTCTGACTGATAATTAAATCTCTTTGACAATATTCTAACCTCCTTATATAGTTTTATCTTATTGAAGTATTGTTCAGGACCCATTTTATTACCAGTTAATTACTAAATTACCCATTTCATTATGAAATTGCAATTACTTAAAATTTAATGTTATTGAAATTTTATCATGCAAATCTTTTTATTATCATTATAATAATAATGCATATAGCCTTCGAAGAGCACTAAATATTTTTGCGTTGTACATTATTATTTAATCTAAAAATCATGTAGGTTTTATTTCAAAATATTTAATAGATTTTTGTTGAACATGTGTTTATTAAACAATCGTATGCAATCGCGTAGGCAAGCCATGTTCCGTACTGCACTTCCTTTTGAAAAATAAAGAAAGGCATGTCGTTCAATATTTTCGAATTTTTTAAGTCCAGCAAAATATTTAAATATTGGAAACACACAGTGGTTTCATATAGTGAAACTATAAAACTGTGTGTTTTCACTGTTTAACTGTGTGTTTTCGCTGTCACAAAAGTTTTTTTTCAAGTCCAAAGGGACAATTTGTCCAGGAGGACTATTAATTTCGGTTTGGCATTTTGCGTTGATTCATTTTAAATGTCGGTTCACTTTTTAAATTGTTGTCATCAAACTTTATCCCCCTGTATTATATTTAAAGAAATTAAATAATGAATAATCTGAATAAATGTATGTATTTTTCTCGCATTGTGAGAAAACAATGGTACATAGAGCTCTCAAATTTTGAATAACGTAATCCTCCTGCGAATATGGGCATCTGAAAGCCCAAATTTAAAATTTGGATTTTGTTTTATTGTCGATTTCATATTTTGTAAAACTTTAACGAATTTTTGATTAATAAAATCAAGGATTTCAAAGCGAGCAACGTTTTAAAGAAGAAACATTTTTATCTCCAGCGCGCCAGTCTGTGTATGGTAAATTATAAAGCTATGCTCATTTAAAAATTATTTTGGGATTATGCTCTTGAACTGAATTTTATGGTTTAAGTGGGAAGAACATGATATTTAATAAATAAAGGTAACACACAAAATGTTAAAAAAAAACGCCTCTTTAGACGTAATTTAAAATCTCAAACCTTTCAGATTTTTTTTATATATTTATTTTTTTAAATGGTGGGCACTAGCCATTTTTAGGCTTTCGCCACTACTAAGGCCAGAAGTGGTGGTCATTGTATTATGGAGGCTCATAATGGGCGGCCACCGTTAGCTCCTATGAAGGGACAGAAAATTTACATCCATGCTTTCTCCGGGATTCGAACCAGACTCTTCGGTTTCGCAGTCGGCTCTCCTAACTACTATACCGCCTGGCGGCAAACTTTTCATAATTACTTTCCAAAGGTGACTACTTCCAAAAGTATTCCAGAAGAAAACACAATTGAATGACAGTACTACACTTGAAAGGCAATCATATTGTATGAGGCGACCCTTTCAAAAAAAAGACCAAACTAATGAACTACGGGTGGACGTCTTAGAGAGATTCCATTTTGTACACAGCATACAGTAGCCTAAAGTTTCTTTGCCTAATGTGTCAGGTACTCTTGAGCGGTTTTTCTGAAATCATCTTAGGCTTAAAATCCAGCCTTTTCTTTCTGTTTTCAGTGATTTTAATCTAAAATGCAAATTTACTTAAAACGGAATAGTAGAGACTTCAGTTTCAGAGTTTGTTTTTTAGAATTATTCTATATTAGAGGCAGATAGATAGCTAATCAGGCATATTAATACAGACTTAATAGCAGATATGCAAACTGTCTATGGCCAATTGCAAATTGAACTTATCATAGTAGCCGAACCCAGATATTTATCTACATTAATAAATGCATATCCGAACATAATCGATCAGTTTGGATTAGGGCGGGCGCATGAGCAAACAATGTGTTTACTGTATTTCCGGGGAAAGTTTGTACTCATTTAAATTTCTCTTAATCTTTCATACTAAGATAACTGTTACAGATGGCACGTTTTATAGCATTTATTAACCAGTCACTTAGAACTTAGTTTAGATACGTATGCAGAATTATTTTTAAAATTTAATATTATTGAAGTTTTAGCATGCAGATCTTTTTATGCTAGTAGATAATAATAAGACAAATAGCCTTCGAAGTAGTTTTAACATTTGTCTAAAATATGCAAAAATTAAAGAATCACATTTTAATGAGACGGGTGTGCTTTCTGAAAAAGTCGTTTCACATACGTATGTGGTGCTGAATGGCTGAAGAATATCTAATACTATTTCAGAAATAATGAGAAATTCACTTCTAACTCCGATCCAGAATTCAGTCAAGGATGTTAGCGGAAACTCAAGTTTGAGTCTCTCGATAGCTCAAACAAATTCGTTTTGGACTTTACATATTTCAGATGATTAATCTAAATAAATGTAATATTTTTAATTCATGCATCTGAATTAAGTTTTCACGTCTCCGTCATTGGGATAGTGATCTATAGTTTAAAGAAACGCTGACCATATACCGTTGTTTTTTAAAACAATTTCATTTCTATATATATAGAAAGGAACATAGTAAAAGGCTAAAGATTAAAAAAAAATTAACTAGTCCTGCGCTAAAGCGGCAGGATATCTCTCTCTATATATACGAGTATAATACAGGTTTTATATGTATAATATATATATATATAATATAGGTTATATGCATAATACATATATAATATAGGTTTCATATATATAACTGTGTATATCTTTCTAAGTTATTTTTTGACATCCTTTCGAAATGTAAATATGTTCTACAGGGGGTAGGGCTTCGAGCTCAGGTATCCTGGTGTTTGACACCATTCTGCTAGAGAAGTATCGATATATCGAGTATAGCTATTAGTATCATCACTGTAATTAACCGGGACTGGAGTCGCTTGTTTTGAAATTGTTCCGCCTACAATTAAGCAGGTGCTTATAGGAAAGTTTAATATTTGCATA